CTAAATTCAGGAGGGATATAACAAAGGTCATATTTTGGCTCTCATGGACTTGTTCAACTTGAACTTGCATATGAGTAGTTGATGGTCTGTTCCACAATCAGCTCCTGGTCTTGTTTTGGCTGAAAATACTGAGCTTCTCCATCGCTTCTGGCCACTGATGTAGTCAATCTGATTCCTGTGTGCTCCATCTGGTGAAGTCCACATGTATAGCCACCATTTGCATTGTTGAAAAAAGACATTTGCAATGAATAAGTCTTTAGTCTTACAAAATTCTATCATGCAATCTCTAGCACTATTTCTATCACAAAGGCCATATTTTCCAAATACCAGTGATTCTTCTTTGTTTCCAACTTTTGTATTCCAATCTCCAGTGATAATCAACACATCTTGATTGCATGTTCAGTCAATTTCAAACTGCAAAAGTTGGTAAAAATCTTCAATTTCCCCATCTTTGGCTTCGGTGGTTGGTGCACATATTTGAATAACAGCACAGCAACCTCTCCTTGGGTTTCCAAAGTGGTATCTCTACAGAAGTAGATTGCCCAGTCTTCCTTCTGAGGAGTGGCTGGTGGGTTTGAACTTCCAGCCTACTGGTTAGCAGTCAAACACCTTAGGCACTATGACACCAGGTAAAACCTGTCCACCATGGGTAACCCTGCTGACATATGCAATACCAGTGACATAGCCTCCAGATTCACGGCAATATGCAAGCCACCACTAAACGACAAACTGACAAGACAAGTTGTCTCTCTTAGTTGTTCCAAGCTCACTTCCAGGCCACCTGTTACAAGTCACTCCAAACCCCATGCCCATCTCCCCCTCCTGGGTATTCCTTAAAGCTGCTCCAAAAGCCCCCAGCAGCTGGCTCCCCATCCAGGCCACCCCATAAAGCTGCTTCCAAAAGCCCCAGTGTGCAGCTCCACTTCCGGGCTACCCCTTAAAGCCACTTGCTTTACTATTACTATTATTAATATGCACTAAGCGTTATAATATGTATTATAATATGTACTATAATGTTGCAGTGAGTAATTTCCTGATGGTCTCATTCACAGATGTTCAAAGGTTGGATTAATAAAGATACTGATAATAAAAAACAGTAATAATAGAAACTAAATAAAATAAACTTAAGTCAAAACCAACTTATAGCACAGTCATCAGAACAGAACCCTGTTTTAAGGCAGGGACTACTACTAAAACTAAGTGAGCTCTGCTGGTGTAATACCTAACGCATTTGACTACAAACCAGAAGGCTGAAGTTCACACCCACCAGCTGCTCCTCAGAAGGAAGATCAGGCAGTCTACTTCCATAGAGATACCACCTCAGAAACCCAAGGAGGGGTTGCTATTAGTCAGAATCTACTTGTATAAAAATACTACTTATTTGAAACCATGGAGTACAGTTAAAGTCGTGCTTAAAGGAAATTTCAAAACCCTACCTACATTAATAAACAAGAAGAAAAGAAAAATAAACTAAACACAAGTCAAAACATTAGATTAAAAAGGTAGAAACATGAAGTTTCTTTTAGAAGTCATTTTTGAAGGCAAAGTGACAATGTTTAGTAACATTTAACATGCATTTATATGCCCTTTGATTCAGCAATTCTACTGATGGCAAACCCCACAGAAACTAAAGAACCAGTTAATAAAGATATTATATACTAGGATAAAAAAAATCCTTCTTGTTGTTGTTGTTATGTGCCGTCGAGTCGGCCCCGACTCATAGCGACCCCTCCTTGGGTTTCCGAGGCAGTATCACTATGGAAGTAGGATTGCCCAA